GAGCGCAGCGGAGACGGGAGACGACCTGCACGCGTCCCGCGCACGGTGCCTGACAGGACCCCTGGCAGCGGGGAGAAGACCCCCGCACGCACACGCGTTACAATGAGACTGTTTCCCAGCACTTCGTTTTTTAAAGTAAAGCAGATTTGGAAGCAGCTGACAGAAGTCACAGACGCGCTCTGTGCGATCTGTTCAGTCGTTGTCCCTGTCGCAAGGGGTGTGTTTCCAAATACGCCGACGATCTGAACCCCAGCTTTCAGGTTAGAGGAGTTATTCACACCCCGAGCCTGGGTGTTTATTAGAGCTATGTCAACAGCCGGCTGGGAGGGGGGCTGGACTGTGATAACAACACCAGCGCAGATAATCCCATCCCGGACCCCATGGGGCGGCACGTGACTCGCACCCCGCGCAGCCCGCTACAACTCACCCGCCACCACGCACAGCACATCCACGAGGATGAAGACCTTCTTCCTGGTCTCGGGCACCATGGCTCCGGCCGCTGGAGTCCTCGGCTCTCACGCGCGACGGGGACCTGTTGGCGATGTCCCGGCCCGGGGCGGGGGGGTGTTGGCTGTCCGGGGCTGGCTGTCCTCCCTCCCTCCCTCCGCTCGCAAGAAAACAAAGCTCAAGCGCCGCCGGGAGCCCGGAGCGCAAACAGCTCAACCTGACTGGCGAGTTCTTCCGGCTCCCACCTCTACCTGAGCTGGAGGCACCGCGGTTGTGGCCGGAGGTGGATAAACACCACCAGCGCGTCGCGTCTCCCACTTTCACGACACGGACACGCACTCTCCCGACTCAGCGGACGAGGCTCCGGTCTGGTCTCGGGCGTCCTGCGCGCATTGCTGTGTCCACAGCCGGCGTTCAGCTCCTCTTCGGCAGCACGGCTCCAGCACAAATAATCTGGCGTCTCCCTCGGCAATGCTGAACTCCCCTCCCTCTCTCTCTCTCTCCCTCCCTCTCCACTCCCTGGGCTGACGTCAGGCGCGCTGCCTGCCAAGGAAACTCTTAAAGAAATTGTCCCACGTTCCCGACAGCTCTGGAGCCGAGGAAGTCTGTCCCCGTGTTTGGAAC